TGCCCAGGTCAACTGGGTCAAGAGCTTTGGCCTGGCAGTGGTTGATGGGTAGCAGGTGGGCTCACTCCCACCCATGCTCCACAGGATCTGCTGGAGCGCAGGCTAGCTGCTCTACTTGAGGGTCTACCTGGCCTCCACAGACCCCTCCCCGCCAGAGACCTGGTACCAGTTGGAGGCAGGGTAGTGGAGCAGCTCTGGAAATGGGCACAGATCCTGAGATGTCTCTCCCTGCATGGGAGAGTGCCGGTGCTGAACCAGTTGGTCCTGTTCATGATCTGGCACTGCTTCCACACAGGGCTGCTCCAAGGGTAACTGGCACCCTAGGCAAACTGTGTACCTCAGTGCCCCCACCACTTCCAATATAGAGGAAATTAGGCTTACCCCTAGCTCGACTTATTTAAAAAAAAAAAATAACACGGCTTCTTACAAGAATTAAATGTAATGATTCAGCAATCCTACTCCAACCACTGCAAGACATTATAAAATTGAAAATATTAAACATGACCACTCAAGTGTACTTACAATAATAACTACAGTTGTACATCAGTTCTACATCATATAAATTTAAATGAGATCTATAAAATCAAACCAAGAAATTCCTACCTTGAAACCTGTTTCCTGAATTATGCGCAAAATATATATCTGTACCTAGAATCACTGGATTTTGGTCATCTTACTCTTGATGAAATCTTAAATGCAACTGACAAAATCTAGGGTGCTTTAGATTTAAAAAAGGGTGGTTGGAAGGAAGAAGGAAGGTGTAAGAAATCAGTATCACAAGCTGTAAAATAATCTAGGCTTAGGGGTTTATTTTTTAGCATGATGTTGCGAGTGGTATGCTCTTGTCACAAGTCTGCTTGAGAGTTGAAAAACATAGGAGTCACAATTCTAGTGATCTTTCCTCTGAGATCTTTTCAGAGGTCTTTCTCCCCTTACTGAACCAAAGGTCTTAGACCAAGGTGGCCCCATAGCCAGCCAGGGCTGTTATTTAGAATGATGTTCCTGTTATTTTGTTCTGCATATAATTTTGGCACCCCCCAAAATTTTGGCACTCTAGGTGACCACCTAGTTCACCCAATGGTTGGACTGGCCCTCCTTACACACCCTGCCTGTGCCCCCAGAGGTCCTAGCAGGGCTTCAGAGATGGGTGCTGGAGTCTTTCTGGCCAGGATGGCACTGGGTCACTATGGAGGTCCTGAGCCTCCCCTTGTGGGAGGGTGGCCAGGGCCTGGTTTGTCCATGAAGCCAGGTCCTGATATTCTGTCTTCAGGCCCTGCAGTGACTGCTGTACAGTGTTGGTAGCCACACAACATGGGCCACCTGGGGCACTCCTTCTTCAGCCACTTCTGGGGGCTCTGATACAAGTGGCAGCTCTTCAGCCTTGTCGTGGGTCCAGTGCCTTGCCCAGCCTCGCAGTGCTCCCCGCTCCACCATCTGAGCCACCTGGAGGACACCAGACCAGTCTGCTTTTCCACCGTCCATTGCTACATGTTCATATGCCACACAATCCATCATGCTGCCCTTGCGTCCCACTCAGACACCAAGTGGCAGGACCTGCTCAGCGAGAGCATGTCTGGGGCACTCCAGTGGCTGAGTCTGTACTCCAGCCTCATCCCATGAGACCCTGGGGACCTCAGATGGGCGGTTCTCTCTGGGTGAGCTTCACAGACACCCTGGTCTCCTGCCCCTTCTGAGGGCAGAGGGAGACCCTGGCACACATGACCCTCAAGTGCGCCAGGCTGCAGCCCCTCCACCTCCACCTCCCAAACCTCCTCCTGAGGTTCTGGTTGAAATTCGCGCCCCCATCTTTTTGTCTTGGTGGTGCCATGGATGGGGTGACCAAAGTCCTGGGACCTCCTGGTCAACCTCCTCCTGGCCCTAGCCAAGTGGGACCTGTACTTTACTGGCCTGAACCTCCTTCCTGGTCAGGTGCCTGGAGACTGCAGGGCCTCTTTCTTCTCACTTGTCCGAGCATGTTTCTGAGCAGAGCACCAGTGGGTGGCATTCACTGGCTCCTTGGATACCTTTGAGGACTGGTGGGTGCGGCCTGGGGGCTCTGCTCAGTGTCCCTCTCCGGAGAACTTCTTTTCACATTTTAACCCTCTGAGCCCCCACATCACTTCTATCCTTTTCTTCCTTAGTTGTCCCACCAAAAAAAAATAATGTATCAGTTGTATCTTTCAAACTTTGGCCCCACACAGTGGGGGCTATTAGTTAACTAGGTGGGTCTTAAGGTCCATGATCTCTGGAAGATACCAATAGGAGTTTTTGGGGCCTGGCCAGTTGGTACCTGGGGACACTACCCCTTGTGGCAGCTGGACTGCTGGAGCAGCCCTGAGAGTTCCCTGCACCCTCTACCCACTGCAGCAGTCTGGCAGCGGGGGCTGCTGCCTGGCTGTGACCTGCTGCCACCTGTGACAGCATGGAGCCCCAAGGCTGCATGCCTGCCAGACCCAGATGGGGACTGCACAGCAAGTAGAAGCGTTTGCCCCTCTGGACCTATTACCAGTAGGCTGTGGCTGCAGAGTTGGCCTTTGTGTGTCACTACTGCCATGTGTGCCCCTGCCCAGCCATCTGGGCAGCTATTGACTGGAAGATGTTCCCAGTGTGGTGGCCTGCTTTGAACTGTCAAAGCATGTCCTCCTGGTAATAAAAAATCCCGAAGGCACTCTGTAAAATACCCCCAAATCCATGCTCCTTCACAATTAAAACAAAAGACCACTATACATAGAGACAGTGAGAGAGACAGGGAAACAGCAATCAGTTGGGCAAAGTTTTATTGATATATCTACAGTGTTAAAGCAATTTGGAAGCTTACCAGTGTCTCTATCATCATAATAAAATGAATTCTAAATATCTATATGTTTTGATGTCTGCCTTTGGTTTTCTTATCATAGAGCAGTTAGAGGTCCCCCTGACTCCTTCACTAACCAGGATGGGAGAACAGCTGCTCTCACAGCCATAGCTCCTGCCAGCAGGTCTCATCCTGTCTGGCAGCTAAGCATGCACAGTGTGTGCTGGGGGGATGTGGGGTTTGCAGAAGAGGGGTAGGAATGGGGATGGGGGGATGTGGAGGGCTGTGGGGTGTGTGGGTGGATTGTGGGGAGACTGGTGGGGGGCTGCTCAGGAGAGGCGAGTCCCATGCCCCCCACAGGACACAGCCCCTGCACAGCTCACAGACTGCCCCCCCCTCAACAGGAGCTACTGCCCCTCTAACAGGGGCCACATGCCCCCTGCAGGGGCTGCATGGGTAGCCAGCACGCTTCAGCACCATAGTTTCATAGTTGGTAGGGTTGGAAGGGACCTAAGCAGATCATCTAGTCTGACCCCCTGCCATGGGCAGGAAAGGATGCTGGGGTCAAATGACCCCAGCTAGGTGGCTGTCTAGCCTCTTTTTGAAGACCTCCAGGGTAGGAGCAAGCATCACTTCCCTTGGAAGTTGGTTCCAGCTCCTAGCCACCCTGACAGTGAAGTAGTGCCTCCTGATATGCAGTGCCTCCTGATATATACCAGGGCAAGGGCTAGCCATAGAGACACTTTGGATCACTGCCAGAGCAGCTCTGTGGAGGACCCAAGCCTCCATTTCTTCCCCCACTTCCTTGATCTGGGGTATTTTTTGACCCCTGCATATCCAGGGGTCTAATTTTGCCCCCACACTGCTAATTTGCAGCATGAGGAACGTGTTTTTGTTCCCTCACGTGCCTCTTGCAGCTTCTCAAAGAGCTTTGAGATGCTGTAAGAGGCACATGTACGCTCATCTGGATGTGTCCATATAGTACAATAGACAAGAATTTTTCTCTTAAAATAAAAGCAATATTACATTTTAAAGGAAGGACATGAAGATCTCATAAGATTAATTTTATGTGAACAAACTGAGTTTTTTGTTCTAGTCAGGCTAGAAATTCATGGAGGAGAGACACCTATGTCTTCATTTCCAGTCAGATCTCACAAATACAACTTTTCATAAAGGGTAAAAATAGAGGAGAAAAATGGGCCCTTTTTTTGACCCTCAAAAGAAAAAAACTTGGTTCAAAGGTGTGCCAAATGTACACTCAACTCAAGTTTGCAAATATGTACATATATGCTAGATTCTTAGGACAACGGCTTTAATTTAGTTTTGCTGCTCCCCCCTAGATATAGCATGTCTACTTTGAGAATGCCCATCACCCATTATTTGTGTATCATAGCCAAATCCAAATAGCAATAGCTATGCTCTTCTGACAGATTTTTGTCAATGCATACAAGTGTCAAAGATAGGGAAGGAGACTTAATTTTAGAACAATTCATAGAGGGAGTGCAATTGCAGTTGTCATAACTTGGCAGCAGTGTTAGTGTGCTTCAGATTTGTGGAGTCCTGAATGGTAATATATTTGCATTATAGTAAATTTCAGATTATTTCTAAAACTCACAATGTCCCTTATGTCCCCAGCCCTCTGGTCACAACAATCCTCATGATCTTTACATTATTTTACCCTTTAAACCCTGTGCAGTTGGGAATTGTTACTACCCAATTAATGCCATTATAGAGCTGGGTAACCCATACACAGAGGCTCTCTACAACTTTTTCACAGTCATGAAGGGAGTCTGTGCTAGAGTAAGGACATGAATTTGAGGCTCCAGGGATCTGAGCTATCACCCAATCACTGAGCCATTGTTTCTTCCCTCAACAAAGTATTTGTACACAAATGGAGCCCTCTTCATTTTGTTAAGCTATGGACAGGTTGGTCCTCTTGCTCTGAGATTTTTCAAAGCTGGCTGGAATTTTGAATGTGTAAGAATTCAGTTATACTGGATTTAATTTCACTCACTGGCAGTAAATAATTCTTTCCACAGATCTCAGTCCTCATGGAATGTATCTGAGACCGAACAACAGGAAAATATAAAGAAAAAATAGATAAAAATCATGTTTTTCATCAGGATATTGAAAAAAATGTCTAACTCTGGAAGTGGAAGTAGTATGAAAACACTGTAGTTAGAAACAATTGTACTGAAAAATCAAAACCACATAATTTTAGTATTTATTTTTACTTTTTTGCATTTAAGATTATATCTACAATTGAACTAAAGCATGACAGTGGAACAAAACCTTAAATACATTCAAACTAATCAATAAGAGTAGCTAGAAAATTATCATTACTGTGCCAGGCTGTGTCCAGTGACCATGTACTTTATGAAATGATTCTAGCAAATAAAGCATGGACAGAAAATACATAATAAAAAATTATAAAAGGAAGTTGTACCATTCAGAATGAATCCCCTCTCTAATTAATGACTAATTTGAAAAAAATAAGTTAACTATTAAGTGTAGCAGTAAGTTTAGTGTAAGTGACATCAATTTTGGGACTGTTTAGTAAATCTCTGTTATACATGTTAAATTTGGTTGTCAGCCAAACACACTCTTTGGTGGTTCTTCTTTAGGCTTCTCAAAGACTGTTTCACCTCCTGTCCGATCTCGACTGAATACAGAAGGTGCCACAGAGCCCATTTGTTCTTGAAAAAGAAATCAGAACAAGAAGGTTTGGTCAGTACAAAAGATTTATACCAATAACAGCTGGACTGCTGAAACACATACACCTTTTCAGTGACTTAATTCACCATCCCTGTCAACTGCATGGAAATTCAAGACCTGCCAAGTATCCCAAATGGTACAGAATGCATAGATATTTCTCCATACTTAGTTGCATTACTCAGCAGCTAAATAGAGTGTTACTGTTTTAAACAGATGGCAGACTGTCAATAGCCATCTTGAAACCATTATCTTCAATTCAGCCCTTTGAAAAGGGGACCCCTACAACTGCAGCAGGAGCTTTGAAAACATGTTTTTAGTCCAGTATACTGTTATACTGTATTGACATTAGATTAAAATTGAATCATAACTTCCTTCTTGCTGTCCATGAAATCCCAAACATGAGCAACATAGTATAGAGAGATTTCAGTCTGTAATGTTTCTCTTCTCTCTTTCCCAATTTATATCCTACAGTTTAACATATCTAATATCTCTCAGTTGAGAGCCCAGGTATCTCTGAATGTTAAACAAAGCCCTCTCATCTTTACTCATTTTTAAACTCAATCCTTATTTATGCAAACACACACAACTGGACAGAAAGGAAACAAGAACTTAGTTTGATCCATGAAAAGAGGTTTCCATTTTTCAGTGCTCAGTCTGGGCAGTGAGAGGAAGGGAATTAACTTAATGCAGAACCTTTCATCTTTAGCGTACCACTTAGTAAAACTGAATAAGTGGGAAGCAAATAATTTCTTTTTTTCTCATATGATGCCCACAACCAGGCCAGAATACCTGATGGGTCTGCATTACATGGCAAAGGTTTCCTCCAATATTACATTGGTGGACTTTTATGTATATGCTTGGGTTCCATTTATGCTTAGAGAACAAGCATAAATGGCCCTCATAAGTCCAAGTTGGATACTTTTAAGAGCTGCATGCCTTATTTAGGGCTATTACGTAAACTAAAAATTTACTTTGAACATAGTTTAATTATGTCAAGTAAAGAGAAAGCAGATTTACCACATTGCTTCATGACTTGGTAGGTTTTGGATTTAATTTCTTGGTTGCTGGAGAGTTTTCCTTTCGCTCCTTTAAGATCTTCCTCCTTCACTGGAGGGCGCTTCTTTTTCACGGGGGTGGACTAAAAATATTGATATATGGAAAAAATTCAATATTTCATGTTACAATATATGCAGTAGACAAAGCTAAAATATCCCATAGCAACAGTATATGAAGTTGATACACGGTGCATCTACACATGCACATTTACTGTGCAGTAACCAAATTACTGTGCAGTATGGGCACGTGTCTCACATGCACACCCGTGCTGTGCAGTATATATGGTGACTTATGCTGACTTGAGTGTAAATTTGATACCTGCATCATGCAGGTATCAAATTTATACCCGACTAGTTACTATGCAGCAATGCATGTGTAGACATGCTACTGTGCAGTAACCCAGGGGGCCTCCCTGCTGGGTCTACCCAGCCACCAGGGGGCTGGCCTGAGCCCAGCCCCAGGGCTCCTGGCTTGGCTGCCTCTCTTGGCTTCAGTTTGGGATTAAAGTTAGTCCCAAGTGCTGGCAGCTGGCTCTGGCTCCAATTTGGGTCTAAAGTTAGTCTCAAGTGCTGGCAGTCATGTGACCAGAGGCAGGCGTTCTCCTCAGTGGCCACAGGGGCACATGGCAGGCTTCTTTGACCTGCTCATGTAGATGCTGGCTTATATCCACTTACTGCACAGTAATTTATTGCACAGTAAATTTAAAACAGCATAAATGAACATGTAGACATGCCTACAGTGTAGTCCAATCATGGGCAACTCTAGGATTTAGAAAATGGGGCTGCAGATGGTGTGACACATCATCACATACAAACAAAACACACATTTTTCTCCAGTTAAAAGGAAACAAGATATTTTACTCACATGCTAGGGGTCTAGCTTATATTATTCAGTTTAAGATAAAATAAAAAATAAATATAACTACTGGAATATGCACTAATTTGCTGGATATATAAAGTTAAAAAAACACAACAAACTAGGAAAAATAGGCAAAAGATATTGCATCATTAGGTTATTATAGTTAAATGTACTTCTCTTCTTCACCCAGGCAGTTGGTTTTAAAATCTGGGAGGAGCAGGAATCAAAGAGGGGGTGCAACTGTACACCTCTGCCCCAATCCATCCTTGAGTCTATTGGTATCTACATACTCTATTTTGTACACTCTGTTAGGATCTATAGACATGTACATTGCAGACAAATAAACAGTATGCAGTTTGATTTTTATTCAGATAATGGAGAGATGAGAAATATTCTGTATTTGTAAAAAATGTGTCTTCCTGAACTAAATTTTGAAAGCACTCTCCCTAGTAATTGAGAGAACCAGAGTTATATCTCAGATTTTGGGATGAAATAATTTTCAAACCCCGGGTGTAAAAACAAAGAGCAGAAATGGTTTATAACAGAGATAGACAATGTTTTTAGCCGGAGTACCAAAACCCCCACAACGTCTACCTTGTAAGGTGCTAGAGTGCCGGCATGCTAGAAAACACAAAACTGGGGTGGGGCAGAGTGGTGGGGGATACATGGCAGGATGCCCTGCATATTAATATAGTTGATTATCATAAATGTTGGGTTTTTTACAGTAAATACCAGGTTTTCTAAAAATTCTAAACCTGGTGACAATAAATAAAACTTCATTTACTATCTTTGTTATTGTGTATTCTTTTTTTTTGTTAAGCATGTTGTGATGAGAGAGAGGAAAGAAGAGAAAAAGAGAAGAGAAAGAAAAAGAGCAAAAAGAGCAGAGCAAGAAAGAGGGACAGAAAGAACAAAGAAAAGAGAAGAGAGAAAAAGAGAAAATGAAGGGAGAGAAATAGAGGGGAGAGAGAAAAAAGAGACAAGAGAAAAAGAGAAAAAAGCAAAAGAAAAAAGAGAAGAGAAAATAAAAAAGGAGAGTAAAATAGGGGAGAGAAAGAAAAAGAGGGGAGAGTGAGAGAACTAGGGAGAGAGAAAAAAGAGAAGAAAAAGAAAAAGAGGGGAGAAGAGACAAAGAAAAGAGAGTGAAGAGAGAAAAAGAGGAGAGAAGAGAAAGAGGAGAAAAGAGAGAGAAAGAAAAAAGAAGAGAAAGGAAAAAGAGGAGACAAAAAAGGGGAGAGAGAAAAAGAGATGAGCAAAACTGAGAAAAGAGAAAAGAGTGAAAGAAAAAAGGAGAGAAAAAGAAAAGAGAAGATAGAAGAGAAGAAAAAAAAAAAGAAGAGAGAACCGGAGAAAAAGAGGGGAGAGAGAAAGAAAGAGGAGACAAGAGAGAAAAAAAGGAAAAAAGAGAAATTGGGCAGGAAGGGAAGGAGGAAGAAGAAAGTATGAGGGCCAGCCTCCAGAGCCCAGCCACCCACCAATGCAGCTGGGAAGGCAAGCAGCATGGGCACTGGGCCCACGAGGTGCCCGCTGCTGCCAGTGCTGCTGGTTTCCCCTCCCCTCCTCCCTAACAATGCAGGCAGGCAAGCGGGGACAGAGGTGGCACTGGAGGCAGTGTTGGGGGAGGCTTGCTGCACGGCATGGTGGCTGGGCTCAGGCCACTTTCTGTGGCCACAGACCTCCAGACCTGTCCAGCAGCACAGCGCAAGCTGCTTGGGCCCCTGCCAGTGGCCTTGGTGGAAACTGGGGGAGGGGGGTAAGGGGCACATGCCCCTCTGAGTCACTCACGATACTTGCCAAGGTCAATGTGAGCTCTGGGTGTTGTTTCAGTGCCATTTCTTCCCCCACACCTGAGGCAGCTTGTGCTGGCAGAGTCTGCTGGCCTCAGTTTGCAGAAGGCATGAGGGATGGGGTCAGGAGAAAACAGGCAGGGACACAGTCTGTGTTCTGCTGCCCCTGCCCCCTGGTGCCCGTGGCTGAGTTTGTGAAACTTTGTGAAGCTCAGCACTACCACAGACAGCAGAGGTGGGGTCAGCAGGACACAGGCAGTGTGCCTGCGTCCCTGCCTGTGATCTCCTGACCCCACTCCCGGTGCCTGCCATGGCGGTGGGAGCTGTGGCTGCTTCAGAGAGCTCAGAGTAGCAACTTAAAACATTTTTTTTAAAAACAAGTTCCTCAGCACACCATCTGGCATGCCGAGGAAAATGTCTCCACGTGCCACTGATTGGCATGCCTGCAAGGGGTTACCTATCCCTGGTTTATAATCATACCCTAGCACACTTTGCCTGCTGTCTTTGGAAGTGAGCACCAAAAGAGAGCAGTAGTTAAGGAACCTTGAGATAGCAAGGAAAAAGTAGAAATGGAAGAATTTGTATCTTAATGTGATATTACAAAAAAACAGCCATTAAGCTACTATCCTGAGGAAATGCTTTCAAAATGTTTCAGTATGCAGGATGAATAACGTAGCATGACTAGCCACTGTGGTAAAAATTAAATTTGGCACCAGGGTGTCAACAGCCACGTATGTCACTAGGGGCAATTGGGATATCTCTCGGTTTTCAGTATTGCAGTAGGTCCAGCTGTTCTAAAATTATTTCCCAGGGAATTGTGGGAGATCTTAACTATCATCCCCCTACTCCAAGGAGAAGGGAGTTGTGGGGCAATATTTGTGGATTATCAGCATATGAGTTCCTACTTCATCCTCACCAAGAGTAAGCATATGACCTGCCTGAATTTTATGACTTTCTCTTGGGCTTTGGTCTATCACCCTAGATATGCCAGTGACCCTGGGCTACAGACACTACTTAAATATGGGGCAGTATTCTGGGCAACTTCTGAGTCTTAAAAGCCTTGTCTTAATTCTGCACTCATCTAAACATACTATATTTTTTATATCTATTCATTATTTGTAAAACTGTTTAAGATTCCAGGAATAAATTCTGCTTTAGTTTCATAGATTCAGATTAAATACTTGTCTATAGTTACTCATCTTTGATAGTTGGCTGAAGCCCCACATAACAGGTTTGAGAGCTTCCAGTCTCTGCTTCTGCCTGACCAGAATTGTTTGCAAAACGGAAGTGTAAGTTACAGGGTGTTGTCTACAGGCACCAAATATATACAGAATTGTTTGGATTCATAACTTGAAGAAGGTGAATGAAATCTCAAGCCCCACAGCACAGATACATATATCCAATGGTTACATACTTGAATTTTTATTGATCAAATATTTTGTCAGTAATGCAAGTTGTACAGGTTTCATTTCTCTACCTGTCTTTCTCCCTCCCAGTGAGTAATATCCAAAAGCAACCTCTCCTCTCCCCCACTCCCTGCAACAACTAGTATTTCTAGGAATGACAGAACACTGGTTAGTAACAACTGGTGATGCTAACCTCTTTCCTGGAAGTTCATCTCTTTACACCTGGAATCATGGCCTATATGGTGGTAACTTAGACATTGGCATACAATTCAGTAAATCCAATGGATAACAATAGCCAAATTGTTTGATTTTAGTGTAATTGTGTATTATCTGAACAACTGTAGTCTGGCCTCTGTAGTTATATCCTACATTAGACTTCTTAACAGGGTGGCAAATAACTCTTTTTGCATAGCTTGATAATGAACTGAATATTCCCTTAATGGAAGCAGTGTGTGTAAGAATAGTTCCTGGAATAAGGAAGGCTGGCTGTAGTGGTGAGTCCTTCTTGGGTTCCTTTTAGTACTTAAGAATGCTTGAGAAAAAATTGCTGCCAATGCGGTTGAAATTGGTTCTGGGAAACAATGTTATCCTCCAGGCCTCAAGGGGAAAGTACCATATAACTGGCCAAAGAAAGCAAGTGCAAAAGGCTAAAAAGAAAATCTCAACAGAGTTTTTATCAAAAGTGGTTTATCTTTCAGATTAGTAACAACAAGAATAGGTTGAATATCTACTCCAGTGGTTTTCAAACGTTTTAGTCTCTAGGCACCCCTTCACATACTTGAGACACCCCCTGGAAAATGTCAGCTTTTAGTTTTTCACTTGAATTTATACTACAAAAAATATATAGCCATTCTTCTGTTGCAAAGAAATCAGGAAGTCCCCAGCATGTCAGAATGTTTTCATAGTTTCATAGTTGTTAGGGACCTCAATAGATCATCGAGTCTGACCCCCTGCTCTGGGCAGGAAAGAGCGCTGGGGTTATATGACCCCATCAAGGTGCTTGTCCAGTCTTCTCTTATAGACCCCCAAGGTAGGGGAGAGCACCATCCTCCCTTGGAAGCCCATTAGAGATTCTGGCAACCCTTACCATAAAGAAGTTCTTCCTGATGTCCAACCCAAATCTGCTATCAGTCAGTTTGTGGCCATTGTTCCTAGTTACTCCAAGGGGTGCCCTGGTAAACAGAGCATCTCCTATTTCTGCTGTTCCCCCCACCCCCCCGATGAATTTGTAAACAGCCAAGATCCCCTCTAAGCCTTCTCTTGCGGAGGCTGAAGAGATCCAGGTCCCTCAACCTCTCCTCATAGGGCCTTACCTGCAGGCCCCTAACCATATGAGTGACCCTCCTTTGAACCCGCTCAAGGTTATCCACATCCCTCTTGAAATGCAGTGCCCAGAACTGGACACAGTACTCCCAACTGTGGTTTGACCAATACCGTATAGAGGAGAAGCATCACCTCCCTGGACCTGTTCGTGATGCACCTGCTTATGCATGACAGAGTGCGGTTAGCTTTACAGATTACTTCATCATATTGATGGCTCATATTCATCTTGGAGTCAACTATGACTCTGAGATCCCTTTCTGCCGTTGTGCTGCTGATGCAGCCCAGCCCTGTCCCTGGGGCTGTCTGCAGGAAGGGAGGAGGACTGGAGGAAGGGGAGCAAGCTGCAGCTAGGGTTTGCCCAACCTGAGCTGGGGAGAGGCAGGTGGATTGAAGCCCGCCACCTCATGGCTCCTCCCCAGCCCCACCCTCCAGCTCAGGCCAGGCAAACCTCAGCTGCAGCTGTTCCCCCTTCCCCATCCCCACTCCCTTCCTGCAGACAGCCAGGGCTGGGAGGGAGGGGTAGGGTTGGAGAGAGAGGCTGAAGGAAGGCTCCTTGGGCTTGACCAGCTACAAAGTGTAGGTCAATTCCTCCCCCCACACCCAACCTGTGAATGTTTGTTGGGTTGGAGCGTGGTGCTTTAACTCATATCCCTTTATGTAAAGTGCCCATGGATTCCTGTTTGAAATCGCTGGGTTTATCATGTGAATCATGTTTGCACACCTAAGAGTGCTAACATTGTGTGTCACCCTGCATTACCTTTGAAAGGATCTCAAGGCACCCAAGTTCAGAATCACTGTTCCAAATCACTATAATTTAGGTTTGTTTATATGTCTGTATGAAAACTGGTTATATAATGTGAATTAGAGTATTTAATTGAATCTAAAACGAGGATTTTCTCCCCATTCTATATGGGGGAAAACCGTCCTTGTCTTAGATTTAAATATGAGCCAGGCATGCAGCTGCTGTGGTTGTGGATGGGACCAGGGTGGCTCATGCAGCAGGTGGAGGTGGAGGTGGGGGTGGGGGGGGGTGTGCAGTATTGGAAGCGGGGGGTGAAGGGAGTGTAGAAGAAGGTGGCACATGGTGCCTGTGAGGGGAGTATGAAGGAATGCAATGCAGGAAGGAGCACAGGGAAAGGGTAGTGGGGGCAGGGACATGCAGAATGAGGGGAGCATGAGGAAAGGGACATGTGGAGCAAGGGGAAATCAGGGAGGGGGCATGGGGGAATGCACAGGTGGAGACATGTGGCAGGAAGGCAGGCATAGGGTGGGGCAAGTGGCAAGTGGGGGATAAGGGGTGTTAAGCAAGATACCTTCCCTCCAGCCACTGCATTTCCTGCCACTACTTTTCCTGTGGCAGTGGTGGGGGAGATGAATTTAAGAGGACCCTCCAATAACTAGATTCCAGATATGGAAAATTAAAACAAATTTATAATTTTCCATGTCTGCAAGAATGGGGGGTGGGGGGTGTCATCTTAAATTAAGGGTTATCTTGGATTTAAGTAAATATGGTAATTTGCATACTTTTCAGGTACTTACATGTGCCATGGTGACAGTGCACATATTTTTTTAATGGCATGGACACTTCTAAATCAGAACAACAAAAAGCTTGTGATCCCACTATAAAATCCCTGCTCATATAACTAATGCATCTTAATAAATCTGCTATGTAAAAATACTTCTTGCTACAGTGAACTCACAGCCTAAAAGAGGGACCTTCAGGCCTGCTGGCACTAACAGGTCTTATTATAACTGACAAGGAACAGAATTATTTTAATTACTTCTGAGTCACAAATGGATTCAGGAGCAGGGTCTTAGCCAGGAGCCATTCCTAGTAGTCAAAACAATGCAGTCTGGGCTCCTGCTGTCAAAAGCAGAAAGTGTTAGTTTACAAGATCTGAATACTACTGTCAAGACTGTTTCACTTGGTAAAGAGAATAAGCAGAACTGAATTCCTCTATATTGCCTGTTAGGTTTCTTTTCTCTATCCTTAACGTACGCTGTCCCTATAAAGCTTTCTTTCCATTTTAGCTCTGTCATATAGCATGCTCTCTCTATTAGGGGATCAATATATAATTACATACACACTTGGTTGAAAACGTTACACATTCATAAAGGTCTTGAGTTTTGAATTCATTTTTAGCACACTTTAAAATGCTTAAGCGGGGGTGGGGGGTGAAGACTAACTTACAGGCTGCACATAGTCCATTTGGAGTTAAAGAAGGAATCTGGGTCTTAATATCCATTATTTCTAAAGTCTAAAACATTCATGTCATACCCATTGTTTTCCTGTACTTCATTATATAAGCACCATTTTACCAGAAGCACACTTCAAAGGAAGCATCTCCTTAGGGAGAAGGAGTACTAAATAAAGTTCAAATGACACACCAAGAACCCACCTATTTATGCATTCCAACAATAATCTCATATGGTTTCTACAACAGCTTTTCTTCTAGACAATTCCAGAAAGGCAAGAGCCATGTGTACATTTAAATCTGTCACCAAAGCAGCAAAATTGTGAACCTTACCCCCACATTGTACTGACAATGCATTTCAATTCTCTAGCTTATGAGTTTTTATGTTGTGCTTAGCGAAAATTTTCTTTTCAGTCAATAGCAAAATAATCATTAAAAGTTTCATTGTTAAAGTTTTTCAAAGAGTTTGTTTGAAAATCTTCAAACAAAGGGGTCAATTATTTGAGAAATCTTTGGTTGATTTAAGGATTAGCACAAATAAATTGTAAATAAGCTACTTAAGCATCAGTAAACAATTTGTCAGACATCACAGATCAACACAGAATTCAACTTAATGAAGAGCATCCCATACCTGTGACATTGTTGTGCTGACTCAGTATTAGTGCTCACTCAATTACCTTTTAGAGGCAGTTTTCTCTTTTGCTCAAATCCAATCTGCTCACTGTCTGAAGCCACCTGTTTTTTCCGTGACTTATATAGACCATTTAATATGAAGTCATGAGTTGGGTCATTTTCCCAAACTAGATTCCAGAATGATTCAGGTTGACACAGGCTGTTGTTATTAAGAGGTTTATTCTTAGAGATGACTAGAGTTTGTAGCATTTACTGAACTGCCTGGCTGGAGCTGCATGAACACAGAATTGACAAGAGTAGACAGCTGCAGCAGTGAAACTGAAGAGAAGTCCAATCCACTTTATAACAAATACTACTTCTGGGGCTCTATTTATAACTTTAAAAGGCAATGCTTCACTGGAAGCTCTGAACTATGAATGCTCCTAGTTGGATGTTTGACAGAAAACTCTTGGACCAAAAAAAATCTTACTTTCTCACACCAAGAATACAAAAATCATAGCCTAAATCAGTTTGCAGTTGTTTATAGTTCTCAATCTCCATAATTTTCCGTTTAAAATTATTAAAACTTGATGTAGTTTTACTATTGGAATTCTTCTGTTACCAACACTTGCATGATTTCAGTTTGCTCTTCAGAGTATGTTTTCTCCTTAGAATGGCATTAATGAGTTTAATGTCCTCCCAAGTCAATGTTAAGTAAAAACTAAAAATAATACATTGTGCCTGTTTTTACACAATTTCAGATATCACAAATTATTTTTAAACACATAGCAATGTTTACATGTTTTAATATTTATCTTTCATATCACAAAGCATTTTTTTTCTACAAAACATTTATTGCTATAATAATGTTTGGATAAAAGACAAATTTATCAGAGTCTTTTCAGGCTTTGTTCATATTTTGTTTAGTGGATAATGACAAAAACAGGGATTAAAACTGAACTCATTATTTAATTATAATTTACTAATGAAGTGTGGTATTATCAAGATGTGGCCAATCTCCACTTTTCTGGTCAGGTTTATACTTTTCCCTTATCCTTTGATGGTGTGCTTTCTTTCATTGACTGAGAGCTCTTTAGACCAGTGGAACATCTTTTGTTTCTATTACTTCTTACCTGGAAAGAATAAATTAGCAATAAGTTTGCAAGGGGCAAGTATGTTTGTCGGTGGTCATTTTTATTGAACAAACTGCATGGTTGGGATATACTTAGACAAGCTTTTGAATACAGCACAATCTTTTTCATAGGTGATGCATCGACGCATGCTATTAAGATGACACAATAAACTCCAGAGCAGTTCATGCCAGAGTTAACTGCTCCCAGGCACAGTGTCTACCCATGAGCCCGGGACCCAAGCAATTACAGCCAGGGTGAAGCAACCTCAGACTGGCAGCGGGTATGCAGGGGATCAACTCAAAACTCTGGATGGTGTCATTGGGTGGTGGAGAGTCTGGCAGGAGCTGGGGGTCTGGCCCCCATCTGGTCTGACAGCCGACACCAATGCTGTCAGTAGGGCTAGTGCCCCCCCTGACAGGGCAGCTGCCACCGGCATCTTCTGTGGGTGCCCCCCCAGATTCAGGAGGCACTAGTCGCTCATGTCTTATTGGCGGAGGTAATTAATTTATTGCACCCTAATACTGACGCATATGTGGATGATGACACTTCACTGCAGAACTAATCAGTCAACTCAGCAGTAAAGCGCACGTGTAGATGCACCAAATAAGTTCTTCATTGTTCGTGATACTATGCCCTTATCCAGCCGTTTGTTGAGTTGGGTTCTTTGTATATTTTTAAAATCAGTATTTCAGTACTGTAAGACTTTCCAGTCCAAAGTACACATGACCTTTTAGAGAGTAGATATAGCAAAAGATTTTGCATCTATACTGGATGCAACTAAATCGCTCTAATTTAAAGAAAAATTTTAGATACATAGTTATTTTTTTCTTAGTCTATTAAGATGTTTCTGTACAAAAATATGGATTTTTATCTTTATGTATCAGCTCTGATGCAATTTATTCAAAAGCATAGCTCAAGATCACATTAAAACTGGGATATGATACAGTAATGTGTGTAACAGCAGGTGGAACCAGGACGCAGTCTGCAGAGTTATGATGTCCGTTAATTTGGACTGGAACTCCCAGAAATCCCCCAGGGACTGGCGGTGGGGAAGGGGGCAAGGAAAAAAGGAAAAGGAAGACTGAAGCTGGAGGAAAGGGAAGAGAGAGCAGTGTGCAGTTGGGACCTGGTCAGCCCTATAATGTACAGAGGCGTGCACAGTGGAGCTGGAGATCTTACTGGCTTGTTCAGGCAGGATTGTGGACTGAAGGAGCTGGCTTTAGACGTGGGGTCTGCTGCAGGCTGCAGTTTGAGCGCTACAGGGACTAAAGGCTTGTTTGGGAACACCTCCAGAGGGGTGTGTGTGTGGGGGGGGCTCCTTTTGGCCCATTGGCTTGTGACCCTAACCTCTATGAGTTTTTGTATAAAAGTGGGAGCCCCCCTTGCTTCTTGTGCCAGTTTCTGGGGCTTCAGGGTTCACACAATGTTAATCTATATACTAATACACTAGTGAGTAGCTGGTTGAAGAACATTTTAAGGTATTGTACTGTAAGGTAGAAACATAACTGGTTAGATCATTGGGCTTAATGAGCAGTCATCAGTGGGCTTGTCTACATGAGATGTGTTATTGCACATTAGCCTAATTTATTGTACAGTACAGGTGACCGTCTACATGTGCACATTTTTACTGAGCAATAAATTCCCTTAATCACACGTAAATTTGCTACCTGTGCAGGTAGCAAATTTAAGTGCGATGAATGCATGGCAATGCACAAGTGACCCAGCACTAAGTTTGCTGCTGGGTCTGCCCAGCCACTAGGGGGGCAACCTGAGGCCAGTCCCAGGATTCCTGGCTGGGAGCTTCTCCTGCTCTAGGGCCAGACTGCCTCACTGGTAGCATCTATCTGCAGGTTATAAAAGCCAGCAGTCATTTTCTGCTCTGGGGCACACACCACAGAGCCTGAGGGCACTGTAAGCCCTGTGCATCCACCTGAGCAGGCCACAGACCTTCTGTTCCTGCCTCCCACCATCCCAGTGCTACTGCTCAGCCTGTGGTTGCTTCCTGGTGAGCCTTTGGCTACTGACTGGGGTCTTCTGGCTGCTGGCCAAGGTGCTTTTGGCTGCTGAGCATGTGGCTGTTGGCTGCAGCTTGCTGCAGTCTCTGGGCGGGCCTGCCAGCCCCCAGAGCTACCTGCAGGCAGCCAAATGCAGCAGGGCCAGCACCACCTCCCTGTTGCACACCCCAGCCACCTGTTCTGTGACTGTAGGTGTTGTGAGGCATAGCCTCAGCTGTGTGGCTCCCAGTCCCATGCCATGCTCTTGCGCTGGGCAGCAGTTCAGCTTTCTCCAGAGTGACTGGAAGAGGGCCAATGTTGTGCCCATCCACAAGAAGGGCAGAAGGGAGGACCCGGATAACTATAAGCCATCATCTTAACTTCCATCTTAGGGAAAATCCTACAAAAGTTCATCAAGGAGTCTTTCTGAGATAAGCAGCCTGGGCTTGCCCCTCTGTGCCATCGTAGCTCAGGTTCCCAAACCAGGAGTGCAGGTGCAGCAGAAGGGCATAGTGGCTCAGGCACCCCTCTCCCTGCACAGACAGCTCATCATGCATTGCCTAGGGCACACACAGTAGGGACCTGCTTGGGGAGTAGATGTGGTGTGCCAGCAGGCTGGCCCTGGGACGCTTCCCCAGAGAGGCCAACTCCTCCTGGAGAGGCCCCCAGTGGAGAGGGTGGGGGCATGGCCAGCTCCTTGTCCCAGTTGTCTGGGAGCCCGCATGTCCCAAGCCTGGGTGCTGTGAGCTGAGTGGCAGCACAGCAGAGTGGGTGGCCTGCAGGAGCAAAGGTGGGGAGTGAGGTCTGGAGCCATGGCAGAAGTTTGTGGCAGGGGACACTGGAAGTGAGATAACAGTGGACCCCAGGTTCTCTTATAGCTTTGCATCTTCTTCCACACCTGGGCTGCTGTTGTTCTTGTAAAGAAAGGAAGTGGAGATGTAGCAGCAGCAGCTGAGCTCTGGGTTGATGATGCCAAAGGTGGTAGAGGATGGCAATGTGATACTTCCCTAGATTATTTACAGAAAGGAGGGCAGGGTTCTTTTGGTGTAACTTTTATTGAACCAACTCTATACCTGGGAAAGAAGTTAGACAAGCTTTTGGGCACAAAGTGCCCTTTCTTGGGTCTCAAGGGGTGTGTCTACATGTTCATTAATGCACAGTAGTTACTGCACATTTAATTTAGTACTTGCTTAATGAAGTACTAACTAAATGTGCGATATCTAGAGTTACTGTGCAGTAGCACCTGCAAATGCCTTTTTAGTGATGCTACTGCGCAGTAGCTTAACAATATGGAGCAGTAATGTAATTAGCACTGTCCATGCTGTGACGTGCTACTGCACAGTGTTATTAGGCATCTTGTGTAGATGCACCCAAGGAGAAGCAGATAAAATTTCAGCTTAATAACAAATAGACCACTCTGGCGCATAGTGTCTGTGCGGGCCGGGAGTGGTCCGAGGCCCTTGGCGGGGGGTTCACGCGGCGGGCTGTGGCCAGCAGCCCGGACACGCCGGGTCGGGGAAGGCAGGCGGCACGCTAGAATTAGGCACGGAAGCTTAGTGGTTGATTTAAGATTATTTTACTTACACCGAAGATGGTCACGGTGCAGGCAGGAAAACTTGCTTGAGTTGCAGTTACAGACAGAAAAGAAGAGAGGCGGACTAGAGTTCCTTCCCGTGAACCTTCTAGCCCAATCCGGTTGAAGGCTCTAAACCGCGAGCCCGTCATGTCAACCGAAGAAAGTAACTCGAAGCAAAGAGCTCTGAATACACTCACACGAAGTTTGCTAGGCTCCGTGGAACTTGCACGCAGGGAAGGGTATGTCGAGGGATCAGGCAGCGATGGGGAGAGGCGAGAGGCTGATCAGACCCCTATAGCCTTCTATACGCGCTGGGTCCGATAGGCTCCGCAGTGCTTAGAGATCTTCACGAGACGTGAAGTTCTCCTCCTCCTCCTGATAGTCGTGGAGTCCTCCCTTGCGGGGTTCTCCTCGGAGTTCTCCAACTTGGGCGGAAGCCGCTCAAGCTTCTTATACGGCTAGCAGGCCAATTGCTAGC